GTTTGCTCGTCCAACTTGTTCTAAATGGACGTTGAGAGGCACAACTTAGATCCTTTGAATGCCGCGTCTTTGAACTGTTTGTGACCGAGCATATTAGTATTTTTCTAAAATAACAGAGTTTACTTTTCCTCGTTATCCAGGGACTGTTTAGAATGGAATATAGTGTACCTAATGATACTTGGTTCTGTTTTTCTCGACGTCGCAGTGATTCGCCACAATCGAACAATTTTCAACGATCAATGTGTGCTAATTCCGAAGATCAAAACAAACACATCCGAATGGGACCGCTTTTGTTCTGTCAGCATAACTGTCTAATTTTTAAAATAAGTAGGGATAGACAAGTCTAATTGATAATGATTTGAAACAGTACAGTCTTGGTCTTTATCTTGTACGTTCTTGAGTCTTTTGTAGTTTTTTTTTTTTTTTACAATAAAACTTTGATTTATTATGTTGACTACGACAATAGATAAGTGTTCTTTAATTTCTGTTTTCTCGCAGCTCTCAGCTGGCGTTTTTTTTTTTTGAATAGCATGCGTTTTTATTCAAAACTGCAAGTAAAATTATCTCAACACTTTTACTCTTGACGACGAAATTGAGGGGAACCTGATCTAGCATAACCAAATAAGAAATGTTCCGTAAATTCGTTCAAAATATCCCATATCCAAATCCAATTCACTTTTTGACGTCGCTGTAAGATTCGGAGCTCTGTACGTGACAGAGAAATTCAAGCGTTGAGAACAATTAGCAATTATTAGACGAGGTTGAGCAAAATATCGTGATTTGTCAGTGGCGAGCAGATCAATTATTTGTTGAAGCCGAAGGCTGAGGCAAATAATTGATCTGCGAGACACTGACAAATCACGACATTTTGCCATAACAGGGTTCAATAATTGTTTTATCATTCGATCACTGAGTTTGTTTTTTAATAAGTATTATCTTCGGAAATCGGTTAGCGCGCGCTGCCTTCTAGGAGTAATGACAGAGATCACATAAGGAGCAAGGAGCAAGCGTGGTTTCATTTACGCATGAGCAGAATAGTATTTGCAGCCAGAAACAGTCGAACGACATTACGCATGAGCACACCATTATTTGTAGGCAGTTATTTGCAGGTCACGTGGTGGGCTCTCGGCCAATGAAAAGAAAGAAACATCTGCATCCAATGATAATAAAGTTTTACAGATGTAAGAAATTGTCATAACCTCAGCACGTATACTTTCCAGGTGACATAGCCCCTTTAAACTTCGCTTCGCTGATAAATGAATAAAAAAATACCGTACAAAGCACTTTCCATGTGGTATTGTGTTTATTATATACATACTGAGTCATTCATCATTTTGCGGGCCTTTTTATTTTAAATCTTTCAAAAATGCTAAAATTTGCCGCTACACACTTACCGCAAAATGACAACGAAAACGAAGTATCAGCTTTTTAGTAAAAACGTTTGTTAAAAACATAAATGACGGTGAGGATATGAGGTTTAATCCAAGAACTATAAGTAATCTTAACTGTTTGTTCTCAATGCACAATTGAAAATGAGTGAATTTAAGTAAAATGGCCGGTTTCAATATAAGCTTAAGCTTAAATGAAAGGCAAAGTAGCTCCGACAAAAAGCACAACAAAAGCTTACGTCTCGTTCTGTTTATCCCTTTCCGCTGTTGTTTCGCCGGCTCTCTACCGTATTTTTTTATCGACAGTGAAACAAACGAAACTATTCCACTCCATTTCCGAAATGTTTTTCACTGTTTTAGCGAGAAAAACTCCTTGAGTAAAACTTTTCTCGTTGATAAATGTGTGCGTCGCGGCGCTGCAAGTTGCAATAAAAGGCGGGAATTTTGGCGCGAAACTCGCACACCTCTGTGGCTTCTGATTGGACGTATCATTTTTCTCACACGTGAAAAAACATCGTTCGCGATTCTGATTGGACGTATCGTTTTTTTCACGTGTGAAAACCATCGTTCGCTCCTCTGATTGGCTATAACTAATTTGCGTACGAAAATTTACGACATAGCTTTTTGGTGAGTATTTCTCAGTATGTATATAATAAAAAAAGTTCTTTACTTGAAACCTTTCAGGAGCTGCATCTCAAATGGTAAGCCTGAGTAATTATTGTATTTGACGTTTGGTTTTATATCTAATTTAATGAAGTCGAGCGTAGTTTATGCGACGATTTAGTTTTCGCGCGATTGTAAGATTTTCGACAATGACCTGACCGAGTATCAGGCTTGATATAAGCTTACAGAGCTAAAAAGCCCTTCGACATTTTCTCACCACAAATAGAAAGGAAACGTTCCAAAGAATACTTAGTTATAATTCTGGCTGTTAAAGAAGCTTTGAGCGATTTTCTTGCCTCGAGTTCATCTTTGAAAAAAGCAAACACCGGGAGTAAGCTTGAGCTTTAACCATGAAGACTCAGGATTTTTAGAGACACTCTAATTCTTGTCTTCGTGAATGAAAATTGTTGTCTCTGTATATGTTTCACCGAATTATATTTCTTTTGTTGTTTGTTAGTAGTCTCTCTTGTAGTTTTAATCGCGCTGCCGTTTGTTTTCAGTCGTTCAATGAACATTGCTTGCGGGAGTACTCAAAATGTCGCGCGAATCAAACGCTTTTGAAGATTACTCATCGATAAAACCATTAAATAAACTAGGGCAGCTAAAAGATAGTAATGCTACGGCACGTTCTATTGATACTGGCTTTAGTTAGGCAGTGAGACTTAAAAGAATCAAAAATGACATTGAACGTCCTATTTACATGTTGGAAAGCAATAATTGCTATCAGTCTATAGAAAGAACTCGTGGGAGCGTTGTTTAGAAAATGATCAAGTGGTTATCAACTCTCGACTGGTTTTCCCACAGTAAATTGTAGGAAATGATAGAAATTCAGATTGTTGATCCATATATATATAATCTACGGTGTACTATCTTTCCTCTGAAAACACGATGCCTTTTTGCTGTTTATTGCACTTTATTGAATGACAGTTATTTAGGTATATATTTATAGAAAACAATAACAACACACACACACACACACACACACATTTTGTGTGTGTGTGTGTGTATGTGTGTGTGTGTGTGTGTGTGTGGTTTTCTTTTTCACTGCTAGCAAAAAATCTGGGAATATATTGCGTATCATGTTAATTTTAAGACAGCTTTATCAAAAATTTTGTTGTAGTTATGATTAATTGGCAACATAACTTCGTCAGTCGTCCAATCCGGTCTGTACTTTCACTCGCGATTAAGCAAATCGGGCTACCGTTGTCTGATTTGTTGGGTGTCCGTTGGTGTTGCGATTTGTTTAATCATTCGTATGATTAAAGGCCGAATTGGACTCCACTGAGTCCTAACAAAGAAAAAAAACAACAACAACAACAACAACAAAACACGTACAATAACAGGGGAGCTCTTTTACTTTAATCAACAATATGAAAACAAAGAAGCAATTTGATTGCAAATCGAATTTATATATAAAAAAAATGCCTTAACGTTACTAATTGTTTTAAGCACTAATTTTACTGTAACTGGTTGCACTGTTGCTAATATTGTAAGCTGAAATGCAAAGAATAGCCATAATGTTGTGTTAACAAATAACTGGGCTCATTTCCTGACGCCTTTAGTGAGTGCACCGTGAACTATGATGACCAAGAGAAGTAGCACACGAACCATTCATAAGAGTTGTTGACTGCCACTAAAAACTATTGTTAGCTAACTTAAACAATCCATGGTAAATGTTCGCATTCTTACTCGGAGGCGAAAGTTCTTATCGGATTGTATGAAACAAGCCTCACCGTTTTACTTTCTTAGAAAACTCTACAGAAAAATGAAAGCTTTGACCTACTCTTCAAAACCCCGTCCACACTAATGCCTTTTCGTTTGTAAAGGCATAAATTTTGATGCGTTTAGGCCTTCCGTCCACACTGATACGCTGAGCATTTTCATCGAAAGTGGATTAAAACGCATGGATGTCGTATAAGTGTGGACAGTTAAAACGGTCGAAAACGCATCAAAACGAAAACGATGCCCGAAAATATAGCAGGCGCGTGTGTTGGTAGCATGCGCATAGAGTTCAACTTACGTCACAACTTGCAGTTCTATCGCTTTCGAACGTTTTAAGTAATCAACGGAATGTTCAGTCTTTGGTTGGGACTCTCGTTCCTCATTACTAGTGTCGGCTGATGACTGTCCTGCAACATCTTGTTTCTCGTCCTCTGGTTGTACTTTTAAGATGCTTACAGGTGACTTGTTTGACGCTATGTCGGGTTCAAGCTTTTCTGGGCCATCAGCGTCATTTGGCGGCGATTTGGACCCATTGTCTTGATTTCTATTGGCGGTAACATCGGATTCTTGGAATGCTTCGTTAACGTGGAATACTTTTTGGCTCTTGACTGGATTATAACTGAGTTCTGATTTACTTGCCTTCGTATAATCAGTCTTTTCCGCAAATGCCACGCTATACGGTTCCCCAGACAATGATGGATAAATGCGGGATGCTGGTTTATCGTGGATCGGGTTAACAGCTGGATTTTTCTCATGCTGAATCTTGTCTGGAGAAGACGAACTGTCATCCTCACTTACATCCTCCACTTCCACGGCTTGCTCAACAGCATGAATGTGATCGACGTGGCCTCTAGGAAAAGTACTTACAGTCCCTTTGTGTGCGGCATCGCGGTGCTTTAATTCTTCTTGGCTTGCCACACGTCTGTTATGACTGAACCTGGATAAATACAATTTGATAATCAAAGCATTGTTACATATTTTATTTTGAGACCACATTCTCCACTAAAAGCAAACGACAAACATAAACAGCATTCGAGCGCGTTAGTGAAAAAACGAAAAACAATCGCGAAACTAGAATTACCTGTCAGTCTTTTTTGCATCCGATCAGAATGGCAGCAATAATGATTAAGAGCAGTCCACCACCCACCGACGCCCCAATAATAACGTTGGTTGGTTTTGACTTTCCGTCGTTTTGTCGCTTTCCTCGTCTTTCTGTTGCTCTGTGCCGGATGGGAAAGGATCGACACTTGAGATTTCACCTCCAATGGATGTTCCAATGCTATCTTTATGGCCCATCACGATGTTATGTAATACCGTCTCAGGGACAATACTGCTTTCCGAAATTCCTTGTGGAAGACTCAAGTAAAATGCCAGTAAGACTACTTCAGGAGGATTGTCTGACTGTTTGGGATAACCAGGAAGAATGTGAACCATGTCAGCCGTAAATGTGACGTTTACAGACGAGCGCCTTCGTCTAAAAAAATATAGATAACAAACATGCAAATAATGAGAAAATAAAAACAAAATAATATAAAGGTAAGATCATGGAAAAGTAAAGATCAACAAACTGACTCAAATAATTATAATGATAATGACGACGACGATGATGATGATGAAAACGAAGATGGTGATGATGATGATGACCGATAAAGGGATAAAGTTTTTTAGCGGATCTCTCGCGCGCGGCGGAGCATCATTGGTAAGAAAATGTGGTAAACTACCCATCGGAGAAAATTTGGTAAACACGTGACCGTACACCGACCACCCGACCGTCCGTCTGCCCCACAGGTATGCACCTGCACCTGCACCTGCACCTATCCCGTAGTCAATAACCGTTGGGACGCCAAAGACGTTCCAACCCTCTCCCTCCATTTTATTTTGTTCTCAGCTTCTCTTACGGCGTGGCAAAACTTCAGCCCTGTCCATTCAGCGATGTTGTTTTCCCAACGCTTCTTTTGTCGGCCCCTTCTTCTCCCTCCTTGCAGTGTTCCTTGTAAAATCGTCTTGATACATGCCCAAACCACTTTAACTTGCGTTTCTTTACCGTGGTTAAGATATCATCACAGGGCGCAATGGCTTGCCTGATTCTGTCTCTGACTGCATCGTTAGTGATGTGATCTCTGTATGAGAAGCCATGCAGTTTCCGAAAAGCATCTCATCTCAGTGGCTTGCAATTTCTTCAGGATTTCCGCTGTCACTCTCCAAGTTTCGCAGGCGTACAATGGTACAGAGATAACTAGGGGCGCATTAGTCTGATCTTCGAGCTTAGAGAGATATGTTTATCACTCCAGATGGTCTTCAGCCTCGCTAGTGCTGCTGTTGTCTGGGCGATTCTGGACAGTACTTTAGGCTTGGAACCCTGATCTGTGACGACTGCGCTCAGATACTTGAAGCTATCAACCTCGTCCAGTTTTTCACCGTGGATTCTAATGTCAATGCTGATACCATTCGCGTTATTGGTCATCAGTTTGGTCTTCTCTGCACTGATTTCCAGGCCAAAGGCTGCAGAGGTCTTATCTAGGCGATCCACAAGAGAGGCTAGTTCCTCCTTTTTCCTGCCAGGCCGTCAATGCCGTCAGCAAAAAGTAAGTTGGTAATTGTTCTGCCTCCGATGCTAACTGTTCCTTGGTGATCTTCTAGTGCGTCAGTCATAATTCTCTCCAGAAAGATGTTGAAAAGAGTTGGTGAGAGTAGACACCCTTGCCTGACTCCGACTGTGGTTCTGAACCAGTCTCCTATCTCACCATTAAGGTAGACTGCACTAGTGGCCTTGTTGTAGAGGTTTTCAATGACTTGTATCAGGTTGGCGTTGATGTGATAAAGCCTCATAGTAGACCAAAGGGCTTTATGCTATACTCTGTCAAACGCCTTTTTAAAATCACCAAAAAGACGTGGTAGAGGTCACCACAGGCACAGCAATGTAAAATAACTCAATCAACAGGTATGGCAACCCAAATGCAACTCGAGGTTATTTTGACGGGAACCATCCGCGTCTTGTGAAGCAGAGACAACTAAAGAGCCAGTGAAGACGAAAACGGAAAGCGGAAATTGTCTTTTATCCGTGTTTTCTAAAGTATTAAGCTTAGATTAATTGTCATGTCCACAAATTTGGAATATAGAGCAAGAGAAAGACAGAGAAAAAGATAAATTAGGCGGCAGGCTAGAGAAGCTCAACGAGAAAAAGGGCGACGGAGATATAGAGCGAAAGATAGAAAGCAAAGGAGACATTTTTTGTTGGAAGAACAACATGAAAGTTTTCTAGCGGCGGTGACAAAATGAGAAATGCTAGCGGCCACCGATGCAAGGTGAAAATAGGCGGTAGTGAAAAAAAAAAAAGAAAAAAAAAACGTTTTGAAGATAAAGGTTTTTCAGCCCGTGAACGAGAACACGTAGGAGATCTCCTCCATAAAACGTGTAACTAAGAAGTTTTCTAGAGGTTTCACGTTGTAGTCGTGCAAAACAACGGCAAAGACAGGTATAAAAAAAAGTGTGCTGCACGTGCAAAGTTGCTTTTTTGCTAATTAGACCGATTGCTGTTTTTCACCGTTCTCCGGCGTTGCCTTCTCCGCAAAGCATTCCACTATTTTGTATTTTGTTTGAACAAACTATAAATATTATTGAGAGCTTCGCTTTTAGACCTGGCTAAATCTACATATATTATTGCAAAAATTTTGTTCTTATTGCTTACTTCTATGAACGCTGTTTATTGCCATCAATGATCAAAATGTTAAATTACAGCTAGTATGCTTAACCCTATTTTGACTGGGCTTTTTGGTCAATCTGTGACTCGGGGGCTCCTCGGACCCCCCTCTGTATCTCTGGAACCAATAATGCTAGGGTCATGAAATTTACATACAATGATCATCTCCGTACAAAGAC